GTGAAAGCTAACAAAATTTTTCTCGCGTCGAGCAGGGCTTTGCGGTATTCGTGCGGTGGCGCGCAAAACCCAAAACCCTAATTAGGGGAAACCCTAATTAGGGTGAAGTCCTAACCCCAATTTTGAGAGAAGCGGGTAGATAGAGGGAAGCCATAGCTTCTAGCTTCCGCATTTGTTACGGATTATTTTTTGTCAAATATATCCCGTAAGATTGTGGAAATTAATTTGGGAAGTTTTGCCCCATTAAATAATTAAGAATTATTTTTCCTTTTGATTTTGTTATTTAAAATCGATAAAAAAATTGAAATAAATATTAAAAATTGTGTAGGGGCATTTGTTTGACTTCGATGTTCTTCATATCTACTTTACCTATTTGAGGGACTTTTTTCCGAACCCCATCTCACCGGGGGGGGAAGGAAAACTGTTGTCGAAATTTCTCGAAATTTTCCTTTTAATTTAAATTTTTGCTAATTAATTAACAAAAATATTTAAAAATCGAGCTAAAACAATTTTTTTTTTTCTTCCATTATGCCTTTTGATATTCGCCCCATAGATATTCCCTCTTCGGCAGCGTTGCTTGAGGGCTTCGCCCGAACCCCATCCCAACGGGGGGAGGCGAAACGCTTCCGAAATTTTAGTAAATTCCCCAAGTTTTATTTCTACCCCTAAAAATCATCAAACTCGGCGGGATTATATATGTATTGATCCTTAATATATATAAACTAAGAAAAAAATTTTATCTTAACTAAATACATTTTCTTTAATTTAAGATTGAAAAATACGAAAGAATTCCCTAGAAGAAGAAGGGAAAGAGACGCTGCGGTAACCTGGTTTCGAGTGAACCTACTAGCTTGTTCCCGAAGGCGTGAGGCAAGCGACGAGAATTTTCAGCTATCAATCTACACCTCCCTCTTGCTGCGTTCTCTCTAGCCGCCAGTTGAATGTGGCCGCGGGTGCAAGTAGAGGTCTATGGGGCTACCATTGACTGGGACTTGGAGCCCCCTGAACTCATAGAGGGGGATCTGGTCGAGCTCACGATCCCCGAGCGCAACATTCGACACGTTGACGGCCAGTTTGCGTGGAGGKCCATAATCTTGTCCGAGGACGTGTGGCTTTGGACGTACAGAGAGCACCGGCCGGGGCAAGGAGTGGGCGTAGTGAGAGCCTACTTGTATTTGGGACCAGGTGCGGTCAGGGAGGCCGTGGTGCGCCTCGCGACGACAGGGACGAGTGGCACAGTTAGCAGGGCGTTACGCTACCTAGGGAAAGAGGTAGCTGCCTTCCGAGCGGAGGACTCGAGCGACCCGTTGACCCTATTTCACGGACGCCCTCCTCTTGATATCACGGGCGAGCTGGTGGTAGCACGGGACGGGTTTTTCCCGTACAGCGTTAGGAGTCTGCGGGCGATAGTTCCGACGTTCGTAGTAGAGAACGTCTTTGGAGGTACTGGTGGAGTGGTCGAGACATACCTGGCCTATCAGGATCTCAAGGTCCTGGCGAGAAGGCCTGCCGACCTAGACTACATCTATTATTCGCTCGCAACCGGTGGGCCTCGTTGGGGAGACGAGAGGGTTCAGCTTATAGAGCTGATCCACTCGATAGACGATGAGTGGCCCCAGTCTCCGTGCGTTTGGGATTGGCTAGACCGTGAGCTCCGAGCAGGCCCCGAGTACGTGACCTGCATCGGGCGGCTCTTCTCAGACGACTGGGAGAGCTGGTGGGGTGAGGACGCCGGACGACCTCTGATATACGGCCATCAGTTGGCGCAATGCTACCAGGGTATAGGACAGGCGCCATACCGCGTCGAGGACGTGTTTGACGACGAGGGTTGGGAGCGAGAGGACGACGAGGACGCCTGGGAGCCAAACTGGGTCGACCCAGAGAGTGATGTTGACGAGGAGGAGATTGACGTTACAGACGCCCATTTTCCMAGGATAGGAGTAGCAGTCCGGGCGTAGGAGGTAGAGGAGCACATTAGGGCGACGGTTGAGTGAGCTTAGCTACTGATCCTACTCGACCATACTGGACCTGAGTGCGAGAGTTGTCTGAAGGGTTAGCAACGTCGAGAGATGGGGTGCATCGGAGGGAGTACAGTGATGCTGACCGAGAGTAGGAGAAGAGATGAGGAGTGATTCAGTGGCCTGGTTAGCTTATATTCTCTCACGAGAGTCCGAATCGTATAGTGGGAGGAAGCTTGTGGGACCCAGAGAGACGGCGGTTGGATACGACATTCCACTTCCTGTGGCGTTAGAAGAGGCAGGGCGTGTACCGATACGATACTTGGGAACGTGGCTCGCACAGGGGCTCTTCCTTTGGACAGTGATACTACGAGACGAACGACCCGAGAGGACTCATGATCTAGAAGGGGTCGGACATCTGATAGCGGATAGAGCACACAATTTAGAGATAGGACTAACGCTCGCAGGGGCGAGCAGGAGTTAGTGGAGAAGCGAGTTGTTGGCCAGAGTGATCCTTGATCAACAATTGGCGAGACTCTCTGGAGGGAGGACGAGTTGGAGCTGCTTGGTATACGGTCCACCACATCCGACCCTCGACCCGAGAAAGGATTGGCGATTCGGACTTCCTACCTTCGTGATAGGGCAGACCTATGGGAGTGTGGATCGTTTGAGTAGAGCAGTGGACCACACACTTTACGCGCTCTGTGAGGGCTTAGCGCCCCGCTTCAAGGAAGTATATTACGCCATTTGTGTGAGGTGGGGGCCGCCCAGTAGAGAGACGCTTGACGACATCATAGACGTTACTAGCTGGGTGGACTGTTTGAGGCCAATCGATCTGATTAGGTACTGCAGGAGACGGGCAGAGATCGATTACGCGGGGCTAGAGGAAGTGAGATTTCTCTTCGAGGCTGCAGCTTAGGGAATGCCGGGAAGGACGGCCACGGTGATGCGTGTAGAAGAGCAACTGGTAAGCGCAGGATACACTGTGACAGTACTTCTCCGAGCGTACGTAGACGAGGACTTGACAGCGAGTGAGTGCAGACAACGAGCTAGGGATTTGATCCACGAGCGTAGAGGTGATGTACTGGCGCGAGTGACCTTCCAGACCTCGATTTCCTATGATGTGATGATATGGTCTCATGGTTATATGCGCGCGGAGCACTACCACGATGAGACGGTAGCGGAGGTTAGAGCGAGGGTGAGAGGGTGAGCTGGAGAAAGATGTGGGTTGAGTATGGAAGAGGAGAGTGAGGCAGTCAGAAGAGTGAGAAAGCACGTTAAAGAACCACTCTTGAACCAGGTAAAGAAGTTGGAGAACAAGTTAAGGGAGATCTGGTCGTGCCAGGACGAGGGCAAGTTGCGTAGGGCTGAACTCGTGACAAGAGAGTTAGACAATCTGTTTAGGGAAGAAAGAGAGATTATCCAGACGATGAGATCTGACTTTCAGGAGAGGGTAAAGGCTAGAAGCGTATCATGCGAAGAAACTAGTGAGCGATCTGCAGAGAGCGAGACAACGGAAGACAAAGTAACGCAGGGAAGTAGCGACAGGACATGAGCAGGACTGCACTACACACGACGGATCGGTACTCATTATATGTGGTAGGGAGACTGAACGGACCATTAGTGTTAGTGATTATAGAACTCCAGCTCCATACAAGACTGTGCATAGTTGAGGAGGTAGAGTGTGTCCGCCGCGCGGTGTGTGAGGCTAGGGGAACAGGACTTTGGATTGGAATAGAAGGAGGACGGAGGATAAAATACGTACTCCAACTGACACCTTTCGAAGGGCGGTCACGGATAAGGGCATGGTACGAGACGGGCAGAGAGGCTGAGAGGTTGAAGATAAGCGAAGCCAGGAAAGCTAGAGAGTTGGGGAGAGTTGTAACAAATGGTGCAATACTCAGGGTGTTAGCCGCTCACGACCGGTACTGGAAGGAATCGATAAAGACTTTAGAGGCGATAGACGATGCTGGAGATAAGGAGGACTTTGAGACATTTTATGACATATTGGAGCGGTCGGCGATGAAGTTACAAGTGGTTATAGCACTAACTTACCTCAACTGTTAGACAGATGACCTCGTAGGCGTCTGGGAGATAAGGTAGTGGAAATAGAAATTGGAAGCTCTTGGAAGGGTAGTGGAAGCTAGAAAGGTCGATGGGCGACTTTGAATGGCATTAGGAGGACCTTTAGCGGGCTAACCGATTCAGGACAGGGCTAGGAGAACTAGCAAGGAGGACGGAGAGAGACGCTCGGAGACTCTTGAGGGGTGTTGAACAGGAGACATTGGCTAGGTTTGGGACCGCGATCTGTCTCAAGGATAGAGGTCCTGTCACGGGTGTACTGCAGATCCGGAGAGGCACGGCCTTGTTGGCCGATCCCGAAGGAGAGGTTTACTTAGACACAGGGATTCTTGGGATAAAGGGAGGACACGAGATCTGCGACCGGAACGGGAAACTGGAAGTGGTAATCAAGGCAGTCGAGAGCTAAGACCGGAGGCAGACGCGAGCCGTGACAAAGAAACAGGTCCGGACTGCCGCATCTGTCACAGGTCCAGGCTGCAACGACTGTCATAGGGTCGGGCTGTAACAGTTGGCAAGAATACCTAACTGCGTCTTCTGGCGGTCCAATGGAACCCGACATGATGGGGCCACAACCGACCACGGGCGAAGTGGGAGAGGAGTATAGGACATCACCCGATCGAGCTCTGAGGGATCTGAAGGAACGAATTAGGCAAGAAGCACCGCTGAGATGGGCTGACCAAACCAATGACGGAGGGCCCGACGTAAGAGGCGAACCAGTTGCGACAGAGCCGCAAAAGGCTCTAAAGACAGGTACCTCGAGCAGACGACGAGAAGCGACGAGGCGACGCTCCCCCGAGTACGAGCGGAGGGACACCATAACAGACAGACACAGAGACGACTGGAGAGAGAATTTGAGGGATTCCTATTGGAGGGACAGAGATAGAGACAGTGCGCCGCCCAGGCGAGTCTTCGACCCCCAGACAGGGGAGTCACATCCGCTCCCTTACGAGAGCAAGGATCGCTATATCATTATGCACAAGGCCTCAGAGCCTCCTACCTTCAGGGGCTATGGTATCACAGAATATCTGGAGAAGTGGGAGCTTCACGCCAGCCGAAGTCAGTGGTCGGAGGAAGAGATTATAGAGAAGTTAAGGAAGCTCGACCCAAGTCTCGGTAGGGAAGTTAAGGAAGCTCGACCGAAGGATGGAAAATGGACTACGTACAAGAAGAACCTCGTTGAGCTTTACAAATTTGAGGATAAAAAGTATTTCATCAAGGACCTTGAAACAATGACTCAAGATGAAGATGAGAGCGTACGGGCATTTGGGATGCGTTTCCAGAAGATCTCCGACGTGCTGATGAAGAAGGGGAAGATCTCAGAGGTCGAGCGCTGTACTATCTTCATCGGACACTTGTCCAAAGGTAGGCAAAAAAGTATACTTAGAGATCTTCCGCGCGACAGGCTTGATTTCCCAGAAGTCCTAAAGCTCGCGATAAAGGCAGAGGCAGACGATTACAAGGACTTGGTGTGGAGAGGGATGAGGAAACGTGATTTCTCTCTCTACAAGGAGTATGCCACGGATAGATGTCCTGATTTCAAGGACTATCCCTGGTCGGAGAAGAATGAGGCCGTGGCTGAGGAAGTGAACCGAGACATGGTGAAGGGATTGACGAGACAGGTTACAGAGATTGTAACCACTACAGGGGCCACGGCCTATCGGGACAAACCTGGAGGGCCCTATTCACTTCGCTGGGACCGTAGGAAAAACGATCCCTGGAGGAGTGTCGAGGATAGAAATCCTCGGACGCTGACTGATTATCGTAAGAGGGGAAGAGAAAGAGACGATGAGCCATGGCGACGTAGGGACGATGAGATAGACCGAGACCGCAGAGATCGCGAGCCGTTTGCGCGAGCAAGGAGGCTGGATGATTACCCGCGAAGCCCTCGCTATGAGGCCGATCGGGGTAGAGGCGACTCCCGCGGCCGATGGGAGACAGATTAGGGCCGACGAGATGGATATAAGGACGACAGATACGAGAGATCGGACCGAGATGGATATACGGACGACAGATACAAGCGATCGGACCGAGACAGATATAGGGATTACAGATACGAGAGGTCGGGTCGAGATGGCTACAGAGGTGGTAGGTATGAAAGAGGAGATCGGGACTGGGAACGACAAGATGGGTCGCGCGGACGGTTTGAGCGCGGGGGAGATGTGAAAGAGCAGTGCGACGAGTCGCGGGGATGGTACAACCGAGGGGACCGCCGGAATGATTCGCGAGGACGGTATGAGCAAGGAGGGTCTGGAGGAGACCGCCGCAACGATTCGCGCGGTCGGAATGAGAGAGAGGGATATGGCGTCTCATCAGAATCATATCCCAAGTCGCCTGACCCCAAGGCAGCCAGGAGTTCGATCTCGAGAAGCGCAGACGACAGACCATCTACTCCTAGGAACTCATGCGTCTACTGTAGAGGAGAAGATCATATCAAGAGGGATTTCCTGGACCTCAAACGGGCAATAGATGAGGGACTTGTCGTGCTTGACGACCGTAAGTACGTCAAGTGGGCAGATGGTCTGGGAGATGTATCGATGTTCCCTTTGATGAAGGAGAATGTAGAAGCAAAGAGAGTAAAGCCGAGTAAAGAAAAGGAGCTGGTCAGGAGCCAGAGCATCAAGATAACCTTTGAGGGAGATATGGCGACCACACCCATAAGGGTGACAGCCACCAAGTAAGCGAGAGGGTCTACATCGAAGAAGACTAACACGGATTACGTGATGACGGAGAAGGACGGGCAGCGGGTCGATGGAGAGGAGGTTATCCTTTCACCGCGAAAGAGGGGAGTGAAGAAGTTCTTAATGAAGAGTTCGCTGGACAAGATTGACACGGTCGAGCCACTGAGACGGGCCCTTCGGCAACCCATGCAGTGCTCTATTCTGGAATACCTGGCGGCATCGAATTCGGCTCGTGATGAGTTACAGATGATCACGCGGAAGACTCGCATACCTCTATCGGAGGAGGGTCAGGGGGCCCCTAAGGCGGAAGCTTCTACAGTAGCAGTAACGGGGGTGACTGCCAGAGCGGATCGC